CAAATTGAACTTATATGTTATTATTTAGTTAAACTGGTATTACTTTAAAGCAGATTTATTTACACTATTTTAAAAAATTATTTATTTTTTTTAATCATTTAAAAATTGAAATCAGATTTAAATTTTTATTCTTTCATTTTCTTATAAACTTTTATATAATATGATTTGTTTAATATTGTACTAAATTAAATACAGTAAAATATTAAAAAATATAAAGTATTTAAGATCAATTTATATAAAGTTTTATTAACTAGGTACTGGAAATCAGTGTGAGTCTGGAATATATTACTAAAAATAAATTTTTTTTCATAAATAATTCAAATAAAAAATAATGTTTTTTAATTAATTTATAATATATCCTATATAGTAAAGTCAAATTTACTAAGTAAATTGATTATGCCTATTAAGTGAAAATTGTTCAGGAGATCAAATTACATATATCCTAAAATTTTTATATATTACAATAATTTTTATTAGTTGATATTTAATTTTTAGTGTTATTTAATAAAAATTTATAAAAAAATTTTAATCAATTTTTTTAACATAAATTGCAAAAATATATTAATAAAAATTAGCCAAATTATATAATAATTTCAAGATATATGCATCTTGATCTTCTGAACAATTTTCACTTAATAGACAAAATCGATTTACTTAGTAAAATTTTTACTTTACTATATAAAAACAAAAGTGGCAAACGGAAAATACCAAAATTACTTTTTTGATATTTTTAATATAAATTCATCAAAAAAGAAATTTTGGTTATCAAAGGATGTAAAAGTATAGGTCTTCCGCTTCGCTCCAGACAATAAGTATTGTTGAAATTGTTTAAAAAGATGATTCTTATATTTGAATAAATTTAAATTTTTTTGTGTATACTAAATTTAATATAATAGCAAAATGGATATCTATTAACGTAATTATTATATATTCAAGTTTTTGATACTCCATACTTCAATATTATGAGCATATGATCTAATTGGTAACATTTGACATATATTAAAAAATTTGACCAAAATTAAACACAAGTAATGCAATATGGGTCTAGTAATATTCCATCTTCACTTGTAAAATAATTAATAAAATAATATAATACTAGCTAAATAAAGGTAATACCAGTTTAACTAAATAATAACATATAAGTTCAATTTGGTTCTGAATTTTACAACCAGCTCAATCTTTGTTTGTGTGCTTGTACACGTTAAACCTTTTTCTCAAACATAACATTAGCTTTATCACGTCTTAGCTGCCCAAGAAGAAATCCAGCATGCGTCAGGTGATTCACATTTTCATGTTTAGCCTTGATATTAGAAAGAGTTTCATCCAAACGACAACAAAAAATCTACTCGGACAGGCCCGTTTTCCAAATCCAAATATTATGTATCGTATTTGCGTGTAATAACGCCCCCCTGCACGTTATTTTGGACCCCTGCGCGTTATTTTGAAACGCGCATGCGCTTTATTTTAAGTTAAAATATGAGTTTTTTGAAATCCTGTACCAATATTTGAAATTGATTCTGACAAACTTACCGACAAATACATCAAAGACATCGAACTTACTTCACCGACAAGCTTATTTTACATACAGATAAGTTCATTTCATAGATAGTATATATCACAGACAGGAATTCTAGTCAATGTCGTTAAGGTTAGGGGTTAAGGTTAAAGCAATTATAAAAAAAACTTGCGAAATAAGCTGTCAATGAAATATACTGCCTATGAAATGAACTTGTCTTTAAATTAATCGTTTGCAAAATAAGCTTGTCGATGAAGTGATTTCAGTAAATTTAGGACTTTGAAGTGATTGTTGGCGAAATGATATGAATCTGTTTTGAGCACTATGTTACATAAGGTGGGTGCACGATATTTCGGGACGCGCATGGGTGATATTTTGGGTAATATGGTTAATTTTTTTAAAAAATCAAAATTCGAATTAACGCCCCGGCTCGCTATTACGCGCAAATACGGTAACCATGTTCTAGTTTGTTGTAGAACTATGCAGGAATCCATTAAATTTTTGAGGATTCTGATCATGAACTTTTTCATTAAAAGATATAGCTCTAATGTCTAAATAAACATGACGACCTATGATTTTAAATAGTTAGGAAAATTGTTGTGAATTATTATTTTTTGAAGATTAAAAAAATAACAATTATGAAAAAATTACCATGTGGAACTTGAAATTCATTTGTAATAAAGTTATAACTTTCAGTAAGCATTTCTTTAATAAAGCTATCCAATTTCATTATGTTTTCAAGATCTATATAAGTAAGTTTGCCATTACACTGTTTCTTAATTTCTTGAGCCTTCTTATGTATTTCTTGCCAATAATCCTTCCGTCTTTTTGCCAACTCTGAATTTCAAAATTTCAAATAAAATATATTTAAAACATAATTAATTTAAAATAGATTACTTTTTAATGTAATATAATAGAACATAACTAACTGACTAAAGTATAGGCAGTCAAATTAGACGTAACTGCCATAGAAGCGAATATAAATACACCAATTGTGTCAATGATCAAGTTATAATTTACATGATTTGGATTCAAATCTGCCCTATAAGAAAAGTGATCCAGGTGGTGATACAGGGTGGTTTTGGTAATATTTGTAATGGTTCAGGTTTGTAGTACGTATAGGTTCATTGTACGGAGTGGTACGTATTCGAATGACACGTGATTGTACGTCTTGTCGTGTATAGGCTTGTTGAACGTCATGGTACGGATATGCTAGAGATGGTATGTAGATAAAGTATATACGAAATCAATAATCCAAATGCAATTTTTTTCAAACTTTGAGCGAAGTTATCTTGATAGCCATGAAAATCTCATTATTTTAATTCAATAG